CGATTGTTTCTGAAAAAATAATTCAACATTCGATCATTCAAAAAATTTATATCATTCTATATTTAACGAGAATGAAAGATCGCAACGAGATTATACATATTATAAATAATTCAAAGGAGAAGCGACATGACGACTCGAGCGTCGAGATAAAGAATTGTTTCGCGTTTTAGAGTTATCAATCTTCTTCGGGATCCGTCACGTGTTTGTCCACGAGGGAACAACCCCCTCCGTTCTTCCACTAGCATTTGCTTTCTTTTGGGCGCAGGTGGAACATCCACCCTCGTAATGGAGCGTATCCCACGACATAAAACATTCAAAAGCATTGCGAAGACGCAGTGACGCTCTCTCTGTTGTTTCGCGCGAAACTTTTTAATTAAAGGATAGAATGAATCGCATGGGATGTTTATCGAGTGAAGACACTTTTCTACACTTTTAAACACGGCGATAAACACTCGTATTTGAGCGAGCAGAGCGGGTTATAATAGCGTCTTTGGTGTTTTAAGAATTTTTTTTATGTAAATCTAGATCTTGAATGTTTCTTGAAAATATATTCATTTTTAATATCGTTGAAATATCGTAGATAATAAATCTACTAGTTTCGTTTCACGAACGTTGTTTTGTTAAGGGGTTGTTGTGATATTGTCCTACTTTTCGTTATCTTATACGAGGTCGCGGTTTATTTGAATGTTTAAAAAGGGAATGGTAATTAAAAAAGATCGGAAGGCTTTGGAATAATAGAAATTTATTGCCCGTTTTGATGAAAAATAACCGCGTATATTGTTGATTACGTTAAATTAACATATGTATGTTAATCCATTTAAAATCGAGCATTTAATATGTGTCATGCAATGCTTTAGTCTATGTTATAATATATTCGATGTAAAGAAATTTACGTTATATAGAAAGAAGAAGATATCTAAGAATTATTTCTTAGTTATTAATTTTTTTCTTTATGAATCTGTTTCCTTAATATTATGTTTTATTGATTTATAAACAGTTTGAGATACGATTCACACGTGTAAAAATATACACGTTTTTCCCTTTGTAAGATAGAATATCGCTGCGATTGCTCATTTCTTAAAAGTTTACTTAAAAGTTTGTTACCATATAAACTTCTCATTTTAATTTCCTTATTCCACCAGAGGATGGAATATTCAATATTCCAGTTTTCAAAAAGTTGCGAATCGCATAGAACAGCACGCATCTATTTCAATATTAAAATTCTATGATAAATAACACAACATTGCAGTTAAAATATTTCAAATTAAAAAAAAAAAA